AACCTTTTCATGCACATAAATCAAACTTTTGTTGAGGTTTATCATTTGTCTGGAAACTTGATCATATCCTCTTAATATCTTCATCATCATTCTCATGGAAGTAGATTGTCCTAAGAAAAATAAGATGGTATCATATGCATATGATAAATGATTCACTTCAGGACTCCATTTTGGAAGACCATATCCTTTGAAATTAGTATCCTCAAACAACATGTTTAAGTTTCTGGATAAAATTTCAGCTCCAGTAATGAATAAAGTTGGAGAAATAGGATCTCCTTGTTTGAGACCCCTTGAAGACTTGAAAAATCCAAAAGACTGTCTATTCAGAAGGACATAGTACCAGTTGTTAGATAACAGTCTCCATATCATATCTATAATCAATTCTGCAAACCCAAACTTCCTTAACACTTTAATAAGGCAAATACATGTTACTCTATCATAAGCCTTAGCCATGTCAAGCTTAACTACCACATTATGCAACTTATTTCTTTTGTTTATATCTCTTATTAACTCCTGTAGCAACACATTTTCAGTAATACTTCTTCCCTAAACGAACCCTGTTTGATTGGTAGAAATAATCTGAGGCAAAATAGCTTCCCATGTACTACTCTAGAAATGGTCTTATTAGCAAAGGTGCTAAGACTAATAGGTCTTAAGTCTCTAAATGTATCAACCTCCTCCTTTTTTGGTATCAAAACCAAATTAGTATGAGTTATGAATCTGGGCAATTCCTGACCATAAAAGAAAGCCTTGACCATGTTGGTTATGTCCTCCTCTATGATATCCCAGCATGCCTGAAAAAAATGACCCAAAAATTCATCTGGACCACTATAACTATCACTATTCAGGGAAAATACCACCTTTTTTACCTTCTCTTTGCTAGGCATTCTAGTTAGCATCTCATTCTAATCTCTTGTAATCACTTTAGGAATGGCCTCTAACATGTCATAGTTGTTTGTGAAATTAGTTTCCATGAATTGATCCTTGAACACTGTCACAGCCTCCTCCCCTATACTTTTAGTTGAGGTGATCACATCTCCTTGAGAATTCTTTATTTTAGCTATGTGCAATTTCCTTCTTCTCCCCTTGACATAAGAATGAAAAAAAATTGTGTTCTTGTCTTCATCCTGAAACCACCTCATTCTAGCTTTTTGTTTCCAATACTCCTCTTCCAAATGCAAGTACTTTTTGAGATCTGCCTCTGCCTTGCTCAATTCTTCCATGTTGCCTGCATATGAGTTTATCTCTAATTGTGCCTCTTTCACCTTAACTACATCTTCCAATGTAGCAATCTGTTGAAAAATGTTACCAAAGGTTACTTTACTCCATTTAGCTAGTACCTCTTTTAGCTTCTTACTTTTCTTCTAATAAATAGTGAAAAGAGACCCTTCCTCTATTCCTGCCCTGCTTTCCTCCACCTGCTTTTTAAAATCCGAATGCTTTGTCCAAAAATTCAAAAACTTGAAAGGCCTAGACACTGACTCCTGAGTAGCATTACATGTTACATGAAGAGGTGAATGATTTGACCCCTCCTTAATCAAAAAATGATGTACCTCACTATCTGGCAATAGCTCCATGAATTCATTGTTTCCCAGAACTCTGTCTAGTCTTTTAAAAATACACTCCTCCTCAATTCTCCCATTCCACCAAGTAAATTTACTTCCTGAGTACCTAATTTCGTTTAAAGCACAATTATTCAAACACTGAGCAAAATCAATGGTTTCCTATTGTGTGACAAGAAGGCCACCCAACTTTTCTTCCTCTTTTAATATAACATTGAAATCTCCTCCCACTATCCAAGGTTCTTGAGTATTCATTGCAATCATCTCTAAATCCTCCAATAACTCTAATCTTTCCAGGGTACTGCACTTTGCATATACTGCTGAAACTTTGTAAATATATAGACCATTATTATGAGTGAACTTCATTGTTAATTGTTGTATAGAGTTTGTCTCTACATGTCTTTGCCAATCCCCACTACAAAAAATATATATCTTTGCTGAGTAATTCGCCATAGCATATTGAAGATTCAACTTTCTTATGTACTCCTCTACTACCAGTGGGCTTTGAAATGGCTCTAAAAGAGCAATATATGTGTAATGATGTCTTCTCTGCAGAATTATTAACCTCTCAAAAGCATTTTGAGATTTAACAGATCTAATATTCCAAAACATTGTGTTGTTAATCATTGATCAAATTAATTGGCCTGCCCCTTCCTACTCCTTGTTGTTGTATTAAATAGAACAACATTGGTCCTATATTTTTTTTTGCTTTCCTTCAACTTGTTTATCTGCCTAGGTGACAAATCTCCTGATGCAACAATACCCTCAATGTTGTTATCAATATCCTCTTCTTCTTCCTATCTTCTTCTTTGTTCCGCTTCTTCATATGATATATTATCCAAGAAAAGTGTCTCCTATACAAGATTAATAATTGGTATGGGCTTAGGACATGTTGTGTCTGTTGTTGTTCCTGTCTCATCCCCCACATTATTCTCACTTTGCTTGTTTAAACTTGCATTCTGCACTTCTGTGGAACTTTCACAGTGTTCTGAAAATCCCCCGTCTCCCTTCTTTCTTGTTGACATGCTTTCCCATTGTTCTCTTTGTCTACTACAGAAACTGTTTGGTTAATTCTTTTAGGTGGTTCATTAGATTTGTGCCCAATGCCTTCATTGAGTTGCTTCCTCATATCTTCTCTTGTGTTGTCTGACTCTTCCTCTATTAATCCATCCTCCTCTTCTGTTTCCAATGCCTCAATTTGTTTTTACTCTCTATCACTTTTTTTCTTTTTGAACAGCTCGTGGGTACCATTTTTATTCTTGCTTCCCTTTGTAAAAATTCCTTTCCCTACCATATCCCTTGTGCCTTTGTTCTCTAAAACCTTCATTGTTGTCCTATTTTTTCAACATTGTCACACCCCTTTTTGTTGTCAATTCTTTGTCCCTGGTCTAATTTCTCCTTGACATCCCTCTCCTTACCTTCCCCTTTTCCTTTTTCCTCCTTTGCATATAACTCGGGATGTAAGATAAAGCAATCAGTTTCATTATGTCCTTGAAATTTGCAATTTTCGCAATATTTTGGGACGTAGTCATATCTAATAGGAATCCATTTCTCCATTACCTCCCCTGTTCTTTTTCTTACTCCCACATTAATTCTCTTTGGAAATTCACCTAACAGATCCACTTCTACCTTGACCCTCGCACAGCTAGGTCTAGTCTTGTTTTGAGTCGCCATGTCAACCTGTAGAGGTTTTCCAACTGTTGCGGCTACAGAGAAGATTGCGTCCTTTCCAAAAAAATTAGGAGGCAATGTAGGGAATGAAATCCAAGCTATCGATGTTGTGGTCTCTTATTGCGGATCAAACAACGGATCCCACTTCAAAGTCCTCATTGGATATGACCAATGTTTCTGAGTTCTATAGAATTATGATTTTGACAGAAGAGTCACATAATCCTCCAACTTTGATGCTCTTATCAGCACGTATATGTTGCATAATAGTCCAATGTTGACCTCTCCCTTCAATTCACATTGTTTTGGGATTAATGTTCGCAGATCTTGCATCTCAGGCCACCCGTACGCAAATTTCCCTATCACAACATATTGTAAATCCTCTTCCAAAATCATGTGGGCTATCTCTTCCTCTTCCCATATAAGTCTTGGTTCACCATGAAGGTATTGGATTGGTTTCAATTGAATCTTTTGATGTTTTGCAGTATTCAGATTAAGGGTTGAAGCATACGTAATAGGATTTGCAGCTAATGTAGATGTTAGAGTTTGAACAACCTCCGGTGATGGAGGCTGCCCAACGGCCAGAATGGCCATAAAGTCCGATCAGTGTTGGCAAAATTAGGTTTTTGGGCCATAGTCTAGAGAGCGTTTCTACCTTCCTCACAATATATAAGCTATGGAGTTAATTATTACTCATGTCTCAATTTGTGACACTCTTTTGTTTAGTCATTTTTTGAAAAAAAGAAAGAAAGAAAGATATTTTCCAAATTTAGTACTACTAACAATTTAATTTTAAAATTGTGCATTTTATCTTTAATGAAATTATATATAGTTAAAAAAATTAGGACTTATTTTAAATCATAAATTTTAAAAATTTTCCTCTTAAATTTTATATTCAGTCAAACACTTACTTCACATGAATTGAGACGGAAGAAGTAGTATGATTTCGGGGAGAATAAGTTTTTTAGACCACTTACAATTTAGTTTGCCTTGCAACTTTTTATAAAGTATTTTTGTTTTTACTCCGAAAAAACTATTTCTTTTATCCATTTTGTAAAAGCGGCCAAGGGTTAGGAAGAAAAGAAGCATGGGACCAGGGTCGGCCCTATGCTTTTAAAATAAGACTTATATATGGCTTAGACCCCAAATTTTTATCAAGAATAAATTATATGTTAAATTCTTTATAGAAAAAAATTGATTATTTATAATAAAAAGTATAATTTTTTTAAAATATATTATTTTATCCACTTTAACACATTTTTGTATTTTGTTAAAAATATGAATCAATAGTTAAAAGTGTGGAACAAAGTGAATTACAATTTTTTTTGTTTCTATTTAAATTTTAATTTCAAGCATTACAATAAGCATATTAAAGTGGGGTATATCAAGTCATCAACTTCTTGGATCAGATTCTATGGTTCTAACTCTTATCTTTATTTAATATTTATTAGCTTATTACTTATAGAATTATGTTAACAATTTATATAATAGTTACCTCATTGAAAATATATTTTTCAACTTTGATGAGTTGATAAAATCTTACCTAAAACTAACAACTGAAAAAAACAAAATATTAAATAATAATAATTTTCATCTAAATAGTATAAGAAAAATAAATTTTGAATAAATATGTATACCAAGTTTGTTAATATTTTAGGTGTCAAATTAAAATTTCGCTTTAGATCGTCAATTAGGTTGAGCGGCCCCTCCATGGAACCATATATAAAAGATGGTTAAGTTGAGTAATTGACTGAGGAAAGCAGAAATAGAATGAAGTCATCAGGCCAAAACCAAAAGCCTCATGCTGTTTGTATCCCATTCCCAGCTCAAGGCCATATAAACCCAATGCTAAATCTAGCAAAACTCCTTCACTACAAAGGCTTCCATATAACCTTTGTTCACACTGAACTCAACTACAAAAGAATATTATTAGAATCATCTGATCATGAATCCCTAAATTCTTCCTCAAGCTTCCGATTTGAAACCATCCCCGACGGATTAATATCATCGGATGCACTAGCGAGTACGACTCAAGATCTTACTGAACTATGTGTTTCGACTCAGAAAAACTTGAGTGCTCCTTTTCGCAGCTTGCTTGATAGGATTGATCAGTCCACTGATGATGAAAATATTCCTGCAGTAAGTTGTATTGTTTCGGATGGATTTATGTCCTTCACCATTGATGCTGCTGAACAACTCGGAATCCCTCATGTCTTGTTTTATACTCTTACTGCCATGACTCTGCTCTGTTTTTTCCAATACTATCCGCAAATAATTGAAAGACGGATTTCACCACCTAAAGGTAAAACTCACATCTTTTATAATCCTTATTGTTTGGCAAAAGAAATAATTATTATATTTTAAATTTTGTTGTAATTTCTTTCTAAATATTGTTGGTGTAATATATCACAAATACAATATATTACAGTTGAAATAAAATGAACAAAAATGTATAAACAAATCTTTAGGCTGAGACACTGATATTTTGCTTTCTTTAAGGAGATTCAAGCTCACTGCGGCATAGTCTACACCGATCCAACAATATATCCCTTGACTTGTCCCCTCTAGAATACAACAACCCAACAACGTGTACAATTCAAGTAACTTCGGATTAGTTGAAAAGTCCAAAGCTCCACATAAGAACACCTTCCTTCGACATATAAATACTCTCTTTTATATTGTGAATATAGTTGAAGACTTAGAATATTTTCTATGTCTCAACTCTCTCTTTCACTATTATACACTACAATATTACTTCACACTTTTCACCTTTTTGAGATACTTCACAAAGGAAGAAACATCACTATTTATAGGTGAAGAGGTCTTTCATATAATCAATAGGTAGAATGAAGGGTAGTAATGTGGGTCGATAAATGTGATAGATGTTACATGAGTTATAAGAAACTAATGGTCATATGAGTTACAAGAAACTAATGGTCATATAAGTTACAAAAAACTAATGGTCATATGAGTTACAAGAAACTAATGACAATGACGATTACAAGAACTAATGGACATATAAGTTACAAGAATCAATAGTCATCTTTTACCACAATTCATAACCACTAATTTATGCAGTTAATATTTTATTTTAATAATAAAATGCATAATACACCAACAAATATTTATGATAAAAGTAGTATGACATTTTTTTATAAATTTATATCTATTTATTTTAACCCTTTTTAAATAGAAAAAACCAAGCAATATTATTTTGTCTGCTAATACTTATATTATTTTATTTTTTTAAAACTCATTTGTACTCTCTTTATTAAACTCTATGAATTATGAAAGGTTTGAGTAATTGAAAGAGTTGATTTGGTCCTTGTGGGGTCAAACCCAATAGAAGATGAATTAATGTGAAGATTTGATAGGAAGATAATTTTTTATTCGTATAAAATAAATGGTCAAGATAATATCTTTGTAGGTGAAATTTATATTGACATTTTGACACATAGTGATATCATGAATGACATCAACATGAATAATTCATTTATATAAATAAGTAACTCTTAACTCATTTTCAAGACAACCTCTCACTTGCCTTCTCATCTCCTAGGCATTTGATCTTCTTTCTCTCTTGTAATATTTCACTTGTACTCTTTGCAGAGTAAATTTTTTTTTTTGGTACAGTTGTTCTTTGGTGGACGTAGGATCATTCTAACCCAAACCACGTTAAATATTGTTGTTCTTCCTTGTTCTTTATTTTCACGTTTCCGCTAACAGTAATACTCTATCAAAAGAAGAGTCAATAATCAAATGGCGTTGAGCAAAAATGAATCGTAATTGTTTTTTTCTTGAATCAAATCCTTTCATTTTAACTAAAAAAAATCTATTTAAAAATTTTCAATTTATTGCTTATATAATTATGTTAATACTCCCTCTGATTCCTAATCACTTGTTCAATTTTCCTTTTTTACTTGTCCATTTTGATAAATCAAGAATGGACAAATTTTTTTACCTATTATATCATCAATTAATTAATTTTGAAAAAGATAGAAATTCTTAAAAATCTTAAATTTTTAATTCATCCCCTTCATAATTAATAGGAGTAAAACAATAAACACTCTATGTTAATCATTGTTTTTTAATAGGTGTGTCAATTAAAAAATGGACAAATAATTAATGACAGAGGGAGAGTAGTTCATGTAATAATTGTTTCAGAGGAAGAACCTTTTTCAACATTAAAGTTGATAAAACCTTACATAAAATTAACAATTGAGAAAAAATATATTTGAAAAATCAATCAAAAAATTATTAAGAGATCATAATTTTGCACCCAAAAAAAAAGTTTAAAAAATGAATTTCAAATAATATGTATACAAAATTTGTGTAGGTTTTAGCCTCTAATTCAAAATTTTGTGTTAGTAAACCTTCAATTATGTTGAGCCGTCCCTTGAGTGCTTTATTATTTAAGTGACTTAGAGTCTGTTTGACATTGTTGTTAAAAATTGTTTATTTTTAGAAGTACGTTTTTTAAAAAAGCATTTTAAAAAAATAATTTTGAAAAGTAATAATTTGTGCTTGACTAATTCATTGAAAAATGTTTTTCATAAGCAAATTGTGTTTGACTTATCTTTTCTAAAAGTATTTTTGAGAGTTAAATTACGAAAAATGACAAATATCAATATAATTTTAATACTAAGATTATCTTATAGAGAGAAACTATTTTAAATATCTATTATAAAAAATTTAATTCAATTTTTTTTATTAAATTAAAATGTACATAGTCAAATTTACAATCAATATTATACCTTTTCTTGGAGCGCTGAAATCTTTAATTGTTATTATTTTTTTTCTTTTTTCTAATCTTGCAAAATATTATTGTTATTTTTTTTTTCTAATTCTGCAAAACAAAAACGTAAAATATATAATATAAAATAATAATATATAAACATAGAATATAATAAAAAAGTCTATTATATAAATATAAAAAATAAAATTCTAAAATAAAACTTAACCAAATTTATGAGATATGCAAATTAATTAATAAGGGATGTATTGGTAAATATTTATATATTGAAATGATACTATAGTCCTGAAAAAAATAATTTTCTGCTTGTACTGTTATAAAGGAGCAGAAATTTTTATTATTGATTTGCCAAACACATAATATTTTCAAAATATATTTTTTTTTCTCAAAAGTGTTTTTGGCCTTTTAATAACAATGCCAAACGAACAGTTAATAATGTATAAATGGTTTAGTAGATATTTGATCTTTCTCCTTATTGTATCTTGGAATTAGCAGATGACAGTTATCTCAGAAGAGAGTTTATGGAGCAAACCATTGATTGGATTCCTGGAATAGGCAGTATCCGTTTAGGAGACATACCAACACCCATTTGGGCTACAAATTCCTATGACCCAATTCTTAATTTTATCATCGACCAATGCTCATCAACCATAGTTAACAGATCTTCAGCTGTATTAATACACACATTTGATGCCTTAGAACCCCAAGCTTTAACATCACTTTCATCCATATTTAATCGGATCTACACTATCGGACCTCTTTCTCTCCTTGCCAAACAAATCTCTCCAGATACCTGTATCGAAAAATTGAGGTCTAATTTATGGAGAAATGACTCCGATTGCATTGAGTGGCTCGATTCCCGAGATCCAGCATCGGTGATTTATGTAAACTTTGGTAGCACAACGGTGATGACGAGTAGACAATTTGAAGAATTTGGTTGGGGACTTGCTAATAGCATGAAGAATTTCTTGTGGATAGTTCGACCCGATCTTGTTATCAGTGATGATGTGGTTCCTCTCCCTCTCCCGCCCGAATATCTTTTTCAAGTTAAAGATAGGGGCAAAATAGTAACTTGGTGTGACCAAGTTTTAGTGTTGGAACACCCAGCTATTGGGGGTTTCTTGACTCATTGTGGATGGAACTCGATTTTTGAAAGCTTGTCTCTCGGGGTGCCAATGCTTTGTTGGCCTTTTTTCGGGGATCAACAGACGAATCGCATGTGTTGTTGCAAGAAGTGGGGAGTTGGTATTGAGATAGAGGAAGATGTGAAGAGGGAAGAAATTGAGAGGATTGTGAAGGAGGTCATGGAGGGTGAAAAGGGAAAAGAGATAAAAAGAAAAGCAATGGAGTGGAAACAGGAAATTCAAAAGGTTGTTAATCCGAATGGTGGATCTTCATACTTGAACTTGGACAAGCTGATTGAAGAAGTGCTTTTGTGTTGAACATCCGGGTATGCGGAAAAATCTTAATAAACTCAGTGAACTTTCACCTTGTTGGGAATGATATAACTCTCTATATTGTAATCCCACTTCCTATTTCCCCTACCAAATAAAAAACTCCTGGAATCTCTCTAGTTTCTTGTTGTATTTTCTCTATAGATTTTAAATTTGTTTGATAAAACGGGAAATAGCCTAAAATACCCCTTAACTATATGAATTGGTGTAAAATTACTCTTTATCTACCTATTGGACCTAAAATGCCCCGACATCAACCTTTTGACTCTTTTTGCCCTTATATTTAATGGTCTAAATGATAACCCCAATTAACAAATTCATTAATGACGTGTCACTATCCTATTGGCTACCCTAACAATTAATTAAACTAATTAAAAAGACCACAAAATGCCCACCCACTCCATCCAAAAGCTCCACTTTGATGCCATGAAAAAAGTTGGTATGCGGGACCAAACCCCGCCTGGCATCCGCTCTGCCCAATTGCGATCTCTATATGTATGTTGTTGCAAGTGAAGTGAAATGCAAAAGAGAAGAACAGACAGTATCAGGCTTGAACCACCAGTTCCCTTCATTCATATTTCATGATCCTTTAAGACAGTTAATATTATGTTATAAGCTATACTTCTATTATGGAACTTTCTGTTGGAACTCCAGCACGAACATTAGAGGTTGTGATTGCACTATTTTACAGTTACTACAAAAGAATTTGTGTACATACACGGAGGAAGGAGGGTTGCATGCAGTATGCACAAATTATAAGGGAGTATCTCAGAGGATGTTTTCTGAGAGTCAGGTACCGCAGTATCTGCAGCTATATCACCTCAAAGCTATACATTTCCTCGAATCTTTTTCGTGTCATAGCTCTTCCATTCGTTTACTCCTACAATGTGCATAAAATTGAGGTTAGTATGTCAATTTTGACTTCACCGTACATCTATATCTTGTAAGTAGTTAGTTATTTCACATACCTGTGGTGGACTTAATGTGGGAGAGGTTGCACCTCTGCTTTTACGATCACCTCAGAGACTCTAGATTCTGATTTCTCATTTAAATAACTAATAGTAAACAAAGAACAAATGAAGTCAGAATATGATGCACTTCTTGTAGTTCCATCTGTTTTATTCTAACAACAACAAACAACAATATACCCAGTGTAACTCCACAGGTGGGATCTGGAGAGGGTAAGATGTACGCAGATCTTACCCCTACCTCATGGAGGTAGAGAGACTGTTTCTGATAGACCCTCGACTTTTCTTTTTTTGAGAATAGGTAATTGTATCTGCATTATTCAGTCATTAAAGTTTGAAATAACGTAGGGAACTACAGATAGCTAGGTCCTACTGATTGGACAAACAAAACAAATGCAAGCAGTAATATCCCTGTACGAAAAGACTAAATCGGAGTGACTGATTGGGTGTAACCTAAGAGCTACCTGTCCCTAAATAGTCATGGACAATATCTTGTTGAAGAATAAGAAACCTTTGGGAGTTCACATATGTACCAAAAGAGTAAAGATGATGGACCGTCATCAATTTCCTTAACTAAGATTAACTACCTCCAAAGAATACAGTATTGAATTATACATGCCAACATGCTTATAGTATTTCCAAAACTCAGTTCTTGAATACCATGCACCAAAAAAGTAAAAAATTATCATTGAATTTGGGATGCTTACGTTGAGAGTATTGTCACCCAAATGAGTTCTACACATTCAACCTAAAGAAGCCTTTGTTCAACTGGGATTACACCATATGTAATAAGATGAGCAAATGGCCACAGCTTAACCAGCCTGAAAAATGAGCCAGATAAAGAGAATCCGTGTTAAAAGGGCATCATGATGCATGTGTTGCTACTAATCCACACTGAACCTCAAACATTATGTCGCATGATAGAAGCATGCATGCAAAAAACGACGAATATGAAGGATATAAACTGCAGGATACTATCATTCAATCACTTTTCCAATCTGCTCACCAAATGTCAATTTATCAACAGAACATAGGTTTAATTTAGACAAGTAAAGTATTATGGAGATTCAATGAACACCCTGACTGAAAAATCTTCTTTGAAAATACAGAGTAATGTTCAACTTTATGGACCAGATCAGAGAAAGAACGCCACAAAACTGAAGAGAAAATGAACATGAGCAGCATATTAGCAACTATGGCTAAGGTAAATAACATTGATAAATTCATCATATCATCGTCATATCATATATATATTATACTAAAAGTGAGAAGAATTTTAAGCAAAAGTTAGATTACAATTTTACCCCTATATTAAATATAAATGTTATAAATTATTTAATAAATTAAATATTAGATAGTAAATCATCATATTAGTACATGAATCAACCACCATAAAGTATCTTGAATGTGGATTCACTGTATTGATTTTTATATTGTTGGACTAAATTCATGAATTTTTCATTTTGTTCATCTTCCAAATAATATATATATATATATATATATATATATATATATATAAAATTGAAAATAGAAAAGGTGATGTGACACCTCTCTATGGTCAGTATTAATATTTATTTATTTTGTCATTTTTTTTTTCATTTTCCCTTCATTTCCTCTACATAATCAAGCAGTTAAATGGATTTAAAAAAAATCTCATAAAGTATATATTCATTGAAATAAAACCCACATAACACAGTAATAACTGGAACCCGCCATAAAGTCTAAATAGTCTCATTATTATTATACAACTATTAAACTTAGCCACGCTACGCGCGGTGAGAAAAAGTTTTGAAATTCTTTTCGATCTTCAAGTCCAAACAATTAAGATGAAAAATCCTAACAATTAGATTTATAACTGTTGTTTTATTTGGAAAATATATTTTGACTGGTTTAGAGTCGCCACTTAATTTTAAAGCAAAATTAAGAAAACTATTGTTTTCAAAAGACTAAAACAGTAAATCTATTGAAAACTATTAAGGGGGTTCGAGGTTCCTATTAATATTCTAGGAAGGTTTTTAAGGCACCTAGAATATCCGCTAATGCGGTTATCCGATAATTAATTATTTGACTAATTGATTTTAAAATAAAGCATGCATACTTAAATTAATTAAGAAGTAAACAGTTTAATACTTTAAAAGATCTTAAAGGAGAAAATGGATATTAAAAATATTATTTAAGTACAACATTTTGCAAATTTTCTTGAAAAAAGTCTAGTAGAAAAATGTTTGCTTAATTTTAAATAGTTGATTCAAAATGGTTATCTTTTGGGGAGTTGAATTTTTAGAATCTTAAGATTAATAGCAGATAATAACGGGTAAGCAAACACAACAGAGAAATGAGGAAAAGAGATAGTTGGACCCAAATCTGGTTACTGTCTGCCTGGACCAGTATTCGGGCCCATTTGATTCATCTGCACCTGTCCTAAACTAACATAAAAATAAAAATATTATTTGGGCCTTAGGCCCAATTTTACCTTTCCTAAATTCTAGCAAGATAATCGATAATAAGACGACGAGGGCTTAAGCCCAAAATAACAAAATACAACTTCTTTTAAAATAAATGTGGGCCTTTGGCCCGATCTTTCAATTCTCCTCCGCTTTCGCATTCTACCAACTTCGAGACCTGTTCATCGATTCTATAGCTCGAAAATGGGGCTAACTCGATAGGAAACCAAGTCGGATATGTAGGAGTGGTGTACAAAATAGACTCGGATAAATGTCACATGCATAAAGAAAGGGATGGTAAGAATTAGTCAAAGGCAAATGGCATGGAACAAATAATAAATTAATGAAAGAACTTTGTCAAAAATTCAGATAATGAAAATAAAATAATCGATATGCCGAGAATAGCTAAGGAAAATAGAACAAATTCCAAGGTGAATGACTATTTTTAGCAAATTCTCACGGCGTATGACTATTTTAGCAAATTCGAACATAATTAAATAAAGCACTTTGATTCTTCTTCCAAAAGACTATGAGAATTGACTCCAAACAGGACAAGCTCTAATTGGTAGCTTGACTTATAATTGAAAGCTTGATTAATTTGGAAAGAAATATTCCTACAATTAATTCTCTTTGAAAGTGTTCATATTTGTTTGTAAAAAAAATTTCAAAAAAAAGTTTTTTTCTTTTAAGGGATAAATTAGTGAGATTATCTTTTTATTCGTGATTTCTTAAGCACCGTGCAAAACAAAAAGTGATCAACTAATATAAGACTGAGGGAGTATTAGTTATGATATTATTTAATCTTTTATGTGATACACAACAAACTATAGCATTAGCAAGACAGAGGCAACTATCACGTGATAAACATAATCAAAGACAAAATTGTTATCAATGCGCCCAATCAAATAATTTCAAACATAACTAACTTCAGTATTACCAATACACCTTATTTAGTATTATTTTTATACTCCACTAATGAATAGAACGACCAAAATATCTAAAATAATAATTAACAGAATAATTGTTAAGATCTAAATACACCTTATACAATAATATTATTAATATAGGCTCTGTAAATAATCTCAGAGATGAAAGATACTCCACTAATAAAATAGGACATACGAAACATTTAGCATCAGAATTCAAAAGAAATATACAAGATACTATTATTTTATTTTATTTTGAAAAAAAAATAAAAAAAATAAAATAAAAAATAAAAATAAAGCTTTATGCAGTGTGTTCAAACAGTTTTGGAAAATAAGTTAAATATGTCAATTGTAAAAATATTAAACTTTATGCCTATTTAGGAAAAATACATACAAAATACCCAACAATTATAGATTATTTTAAACATTTGCAATATACAACAATAATAACATTCAATTATTCTTCTTAAATTAAAATGCGGATCATATATTTTGAAAGTATAACGACACATGTTGAAGTTTCTTATTAAATTGAAATATTTATCTATATTGACAATTTCATTATGCTATTATAATCAAGAAAAATCTTAGAAATGAAAATAAAATAAAATACCCAAACACTAATCTACTCAATTTTTTTTTTATATTTT